AAGTCATGTAGGTGTGTTGGGCGCTCATGGATGAAAACAAAAAGACAGCTGATAAAGCACCTCTGTACTTTGTGGGCGACTTCGGAGAAAAAGAGCGAAACGGTGGCACATTCCGATCATTCTTCCCGTCCGAGACCTTGGCTGCCCCCCTTTGTAAAACGCCTACTAAACCAGACAATAAGGGGGCAAAACCACATGAATGTGTGGCACATTCCGATGTCATGACCAATCAGGTGAAGTGCTGTTTGCACCTACGACTGCCGAACTCCTGTGGTACCTCACCTTTCTTTTCTTGCTTGCCAAGGCGCCAACTCAACGAACACCTCGGCGTGAGGTCGCGCCCGCACAAACCATCTGTTGTGGAATCCGAGGAATGTGCTGTGCGCTACGGGCTGACAGATTGGAATGTCTGCGGGTCACTCACAGACGAGGGGGGCGGCTCTGTGCTGGAAATCCGAGTGGAAGAAGGGCGATGAGTCATCGTAGCTTGTCTGATGAACTGGTAAAGGGCGCTATCTTGCAACAAGATTGGGAAGCCGCGGGCTCCCTCTTCTGGTTTGATGCTGGTAAAGGGAAAGATAAAGGGCAAAGAATTGCATTGGTTGAAGGGAAAAACAAAGAACAACAAATTGAAGCGGACGGTGAGCCATCATGAAGAAGATGATGGTATGCTCGCTTGAGGCAGAGATCGGCCCTTAGAGGAGGTGGCGGGTGGCTTCGTTGGCGCGTGCGGTTGGAGTACTCGTGGCCATCACCACCATCACAATGGGCGCGTTTTCATCAGCAGCGGAAGTTGACGGCGCCGATGGACGACCCGTCGGACGTGGAGTTGAGCGGCGTCTGCAGCACGTAGCCCAGGCCCGACTGCGACCCGCCCGGCGCCGGCAGCAGGAAGCTCTCGATGTTGAATGTGTTGGTGGCGTCGACCCGCTCCAGGTTCCAGAACTGGGCGATGGCCTGGTCGGCGGCGATGGCGATGGTGAGCGAGGCCTGGGTCAAGCGGCTGGCGCCATTGTTGTTGAGCGTGATGTCATAGATCTGGAACCGATTGGAGTTGTCGCTCCACGACCCGCCGGCGCCTGAGCGTGCCACCTGCGACGCCAGGAGCGAGCACCCGCCCGACGGGCTGGGCCTCGGGCTCGAGCTGGGACTCGCGCCAGCGCTGGGGCTGGGCGCAGCAGAGGCCGAGGCCGAGGGCGAAGGCACCGACGAGGCAGAGGCCGAGGGCGAAGGCGAGGGCACGGTGACGTTGCCGCACTGGACGCTCACCAGCGACACGGGCGCCGCCGTGCTGTTGTTGTTGACGATGAACCCGAACACGTGGCTCTGGCCCGCCGGAATGCCGCCCACCTGCAGGCGCCAATCGGGCAGGCGGTAGAGGCTGTCGTTGACCAGCACCACCTCCCAGATCTGGTTGATGGAGCCCTGGATGGAGAGGAGCACGTTGGTGACGGCCTGCTGGCCCGTGTTGCGGATCTCGACGGTCCACAGGGAGCGCGGGAACTGCTCAGAGTCGACCCACGAGGCCTGGCGCGTCTGGTTGAGCGATGCCGTGCAACTCTCTGTCGTGCGTTCGGTTGAGTGTATGAATTGTGTTGAGTTTAGTGTACTGTGTGCATCCAGGATAGCAGTTGGAGATGTGGTGAATGTGTACGAGCAGAGGCACAGGAGAAGATAAGGGCGGCAAGAACGGTCAAGCAGAAGAGAAGCTTCATGGTTGAGGGTTGTAGAGGTTGTTGGTAGCGCAAGGTGTGTTGGTTGGTTGAGTGAAGAATGGAGTGAGCGAGTGGTGAACAATTTATAGGTGGTCGACGGGTACAGGTGAGGTGGCCCAGTCGAGAGAAAGTGCACTGGTTGCACCCCTGGCCCTCTACCACCAACAGAACAATGGGATCTTGCGACCCCCGCAACAGTTAAGCCCATAGACACAGACCACCATGTGGAGTGCAACCGGAGCTATAAGTGAACAGTTCTGCACCGCGGTAATGGCTCACCCTTGGTCTCAAGGCGCTGGTGTCGCCCCGCACACCACTTGAAGCAGATCACCGCACCACTGAGTTTGAAGCCGTGAATTTCGTTGGTCGAACAAAAAGTGCTGAAACACAATTGGCCGAACACGTAAGCCACCGACCAATGGGAGCCAATGGCACGTGTTAGACCCTTAGCGGTCAGGGAGGCTGGCGCTGTCGGCCAGACGCAGGAGCGCGCGGTTAACGCACTCGACCAGCGGCGGCTCGAACTGCATGTTGTGGCCCTGGCCGGGCAGCCACTCGAGCGCGAACGATCGGCTCGTGACGCCCATCCACGACGCCACGTGGCGCCGCTTGACTACCGGGTCGAGTTCGCCCAGCAGCGCCGTGATGGGCACCTCGAGCGGGTCGGCCTCGGTCAGGCCGCACTCCATGCCGGCCATGCTCACGTCGGCCACCAGCGCCGCGTAGAGCGTGGCGTTGCCCGCGAAGCGCTCCCACTCCTCCTCGCTCCAGCCGATGGCCAGCGACAGGGCCTTGAGCCCTTCGTACATGGTCGGCCGCCGCGTGTAGGTGGTCAGCACCTCCAGGTCACTCGGCCCCGGGCACGCGCTGGCCAGTATGGCCACCGGAAGCGTCACCACCGGCGCCACGTCAGCATCGGTCACCATCGCCACGTCATCACGGCGGCGCAGCGCATTGCGCATCTCTTCGGTGAAGCGCAGGGCGTAGTAGGCGCCAATGCATTGGCCGAACAGGGCGTAGGGCTTGTCGGCCAGGAACGGCGAGACCTCGGCCATGAAGGCCGCGGCGGCGGCGGGGAGCGACGGGCACGGGTCCTCGGTCGCACGCGTCGTGTGGCGCGGCAGGTGGAGCGCCCAAACCTCGACGCGCGTCGTGTCGATGATGGAGAGCCACGACTTGAAGTTGGCCGGGTCGCCGCCGGCGTCGCCGAAGCACACCACGCGTAGGGTCGCCGTCTTGACATTTCCTCCGATGAAGTCGAGCCACTTGGACGAGAATGCGGTGTTGGGCGTCGCTGATGATGTCAGCAAAGCGTCGACTGTCGGCAGCCGTGATGACGTCGACGTCGACACAGCGGCGGTCGTGGTCGGCTGGGTGGTGGCGGCGGTCTTGTGGTAGGCGGCGAGGATGGAGGCCTTGGTGGGCGACCGGAAGGTCTTGAGCGGGAGCCACAGGCCCACGTCGCGGGCCAGCGCGCCGCGCAGCTCCATGCCGCTCATGGAGTCGAAGCCCAACTCGGCCAGTAGCAGATCGTCAGCGATGGCCGTGTCGTGTCCAAGGGCCAGCACTTCGCACACAAGCCCATGCAGCCGGGCCTCGATGGTCAGTGCAGCGGGCTCCACGGCGGGCGCTGGCGCCGGGGAGGCGTGGGCGTGGTCCGAAGTGAAGCGCTTCCACAGGGACACGCTGGCTGGCCGGCCGGCGGATTGCTGTCGACTCCACGCAACGTCGGCGATGGCCACGGTCGAGTGGTGGGCGGAGGTGTCGAGCAGTTCAAAGGCGTCGAGGGCGTCGGCGGCTTCCATGGGCAGCACGCGCACCCCGCCCGAGTTGACGACGGACGCCGATCGCTTCGACTCCTTCTTCGTCGAGGCCATGCCGATGTCGCGCCACAGACCCCAACACACTGCCCGCACCGGCAGGCCCGCGCGCCTACAGTGGGCCGCCATGCACTCCACCATCGAATTGGCCGCCGCGTAGTTGGCCTAATACACCACGACACGACACTCGTAAGCTCAGAGGTCGGAGGGGTGGTCCAGCGTGTACGGTGGGTGCGCACCTGGCCAGCGGTGCCGACGACGTTGGTGATGCTGGAGCAGAGGGCGAACGAGCGGAGCGCGAGGTTGTGCCGCTGGCAGCCGCGAAGCAGGTTGAACGCCCCCACGGCCTTGGGACCCATCACGGCCGCGAAGGACTCCCAGGCAAGGTCCACCAGCAGGCCGTCGCGCAGCAGGCCCGCGCAGTGGTGCACCTCGAGCTGCGTCGTCGTGCCTGGCGCTGACATCGCCTCGACCATGGCCGCGAACAACGCGTCGACTTCTGCCGACAGGCTCACGTCCGCCCGACAGAACCACAGGTCAGGCCCGCCCGGCAGCCGCAGCTGGGCCAGGCCGGCGGAGTGTTGGACCGGCGCCGGGAGGGACTCGGCGGGCCGCGGCTCTATCAGCTCGGCCGCCCAGGCCGCGGGGTCTGCGGGCGGGTGGCGACCGACCAGGAACAGGGCCGAGCGGTCGTGGTCCGCGGCCCCTGAGGCGGCGAGCATCCGCCGACAGATCTCCCTGCCCACCCCGCCGAAGGCGCCCGTGATCACCACCGCCCGGTTCTCACCCGAGCTTGCGGCGCTGGTCCTCCGAAAAGCGGTAGATGAGCAAGCTTGCGGTCGTGTCGTGATTGTCGTGTGTGTCGTGTGTACCTGGGCTGAGCGGCCGCGGGAAAAGACGGGACGCGTGTCAATCGCGGGGCGTATAGTTGGCCGTCACGGATCGTCAAGCGGTCCTCTGCGCCGACTATCGAGTTCTTCTGTGCGCCTTGAAGAATGCGCGCCAATGTCTGCGCGCTTCCGCTCGAGCCCGACTGGTCCAAGTCCAAGTCCACCACGGTGATGTTGACGTCGGGCAGCTCGGTGGCCGCCACCGATGCCAGTCCCTGGAGGCTCGCCTGGGCCGACGCCGCGGCCATAGGCGACAGGTCCAGCGGACCGCTCACGGCCGCAGCCGAGGCCGCAACCGCGTCGCGGGTCAGGAACACGATCGAGGTCTCCGGGTGCAGACTCTCCGTGGCCAGGGCCTGGAGCAGCAGCAGGGCCGACCCGCTTGCCCGGGCTGAGGCGGCGATGAGGTCCACGTCGGCCTCAGGCCCGACGCCGATGTCGAGAGCCCAGCCAAACAGCACGCGCACGGGCGTGGCCTGGGCGGGTGAACCGCTAAAGTGTCGGAATATCGCTGCGAGCGCGGCCGAGTAGTCCTCGCTTGCGTCGGGGCGTAGATCGATCTCCAGCGACAGCGACTCACTGGCCAACGGCCGCACCGCAAACTCTGCGGCCTGCCGGAGCTGCACGCAGTGTGTGGTGCGCGACCGCTGCAACTCGTCGAGGACCGACCGACAGGTGCCCTGCGAGTCTACAAAGGCCAGCAGGATATATCCGGGTTCTGGTTCGATCGAAGTGAGGGGCTCGACATCGATGCCTGGGCCGAGAGGCAGCTCCTCCCAGACGATGTCGTACACGAGCCGGCCGGCCGCAGACTCGGGCCGCACCTCCTTCGAGGTGTACTTGTCGATCGTGAGCAGCACCTGCCCGTCGTCGGCAAACACCGTTACCTGGACTGTGTTGAGTGTGGCGTCGTAGTCCTCGGAAGCCGCGGGGAGGACACGTTGGTGCAGACACCACAGCGACTGGCCGGGCTTGACGGTGAACGGACGCTGCAGGCGGAACCCCTCGAACTCGATTGGGAGGAACGTCCTCCTGGGCTCGTCGTCCAGGAAGAAGCCGCCGGCCGTGTGCAAGCACGCGTCGACGACCCACGCCGGCGGCACGGCCGAGGTGCTGGGCGCCATCGGGTCCTCGGGCACTTGAATGCGAGAGAGAAGAGCCGACGGAAGCTCGCTTTCGTTTTCGCTTTCGCTTTCGCTTTTGGCAGCGGCCCACAGCGCTCGGACGCAGCGGAAGAGCGGGCCGTAGTGCAGGCCGCCGGCGTGAAGGTTGTCGTACAGGAGCCCAACGTCGATGCTGCGCTGGCACCGCGCTTTCGCGTCGGCGAGCGTCGGCGCCAGAGAGCGCTGCTGCTGCGCGACATCGGCACCAACCACCAGCTGCCCGGCGGCGCATTTGACCGGCGCGTCGCCGGGCCGCAAGACGAGATAGAGATCGAACGCTCCGGCCTTGTCCGCGTCGTAGGCAAGCTGCAGCCGCAGACTTGGGGTCGTCGACACACCGTCGGTGGCCGGCGTCGGCGGTATTTCCACGCGCGACAGGATCGAGAGCCGCGCCACCCCGGCCAACGACGCTTGAGAGTCGCCCGCATTGCCGGCGAGCGATGTTGAGGATGAGAGGAGACCGAGCATGGCGGCCGCCGGAAGCACCGCCCGGCCGTCGAACTCGTGCTGGCGCAGCGGCACCAGCTCGGCGTCGTTGGTAGAGTCCCACGCCCAGTCGACGTATTTCATGTTGGGCCTGTCGAGGGGCGACCACCAGCTCCGAGCCGCAGCTACGGGAGTCGACGTCTCTGGCGCTGGCCTAGTCCCGCGACTACCGGCCACGAGCGCGGGTCCGGCCCAGCAGTGGGTCGGGAGGAAGGCGTAGGTCGGGGCGGCGATCATGCGCAGGTCGGGGCTCGCGCGCCTGAGGTCGGCGTAGACGGCGGCCCAGTCGACATCGACACCGGCCGCGTAGAGCTGGGCCAGGGCATCGAACATTGACGTGCGGCTGTCCCTGCCCTTGACCAGCGACGCCACGGTCTTGGTGGCGGTTGCGGTCGTGGCGGCGGTAGCCGCGGAGGTGGTGAGCGTGGGCAGGGCGCGCCGTATCTGCGATGTGAGTATCGATGACGGGCCGATCTCGAGCAGCGCCGTGATGGGCTCACCGGACTGTGACCGCTCTGCGAGCAGGCTGGCCACGACTGGCCAGAGCAGCACGGCTTCGATGGCGTGTTGGCGCCAATGCGGCATGGACCGCGCGGCCCGGCGCGACAGTGCAGTGGTGGTCGTCGTGCTGATGACTTCGG